TTTGTCCTGGAATGAACTCAAAAAAGGAAGTTGAGACGCTTCAAGAACATCAAAAACATCATGAATTGATACTTGATGACCCTTGACATAAGAAACTTGGCATAACATCTGGCCAAGTTCAAGCTATTAAGCCATTTTCTTTAGGTGTGTTGATCAAAGTTTTAAACCAATTGTTTTACTCATTGCCATTCATTAGTCCATTTGTCCAAATGTGATGTTAAAGTTCTCTAAACAAGAAGTGATGTCAAACAAGAAGTCTTTCTAAAACATGAGAAGGAGACTACACCGTTGACGATGAATCTTTGGAGAGATTAAGCCATTAAGTGTATGTCTCCTTTAAATGCATTGAACAACCTCAATTATTCTCAAGAATGAAAGATATGGAATGATTGATTGATTACTAAACTTAGGCTCCAAACACAGAAAATGAACAAAGAAAGCATATCAAACAAAGAAGTATGCCAACTTAATGAGACCACAAGTGTATTAACCAAGGCATGAACCATTTGAAAAGACCTAGACAATCTCAAAACAGCCCTAAATACATGAAAATCAGAGGTAAAACATGCATGAAAAAGGGTTGAAAAGCTAGACAATAAAGATGAAAATTAAGGCTAGTAAACAAGGATAAGGAGGGGTGGCTAACCCCTCCACTTTTGAAGCTTCAAAACATTGTTTATGGCCTTTCAAACCTCTAAAACTCTGTGTAAATATCAAAGGAAATTAGTGAAAATGAGAAGGTTTGAGTTATGAATAAAGGTATAAAAAGAGCAAGCTCTCTCTACCCTTTTGGTAACTCTTCAAACTCAACTCCAATCACTTCAAACAAGCTCAAAACAATCCAAAACAGCAAGAATTATGAAGTAAATGATAGAGGGAGGAGTCAAGAGCTCTCAAGGTGTATATATCACTTTTAAAATTTTGTTTAACTCTCAAAACAATCCCAGAGCTTTGGTTTTGTAGAATTCAAGCTCAAAAAGTGATAAATATCTTAAAAAATAGACAGCTAGCGGCCTCCCACCGAGAACAGTGTTTATCGCCATCAAAGGTCAGCCGGCCATTCATAGCCACAGTCGGACATCACTGATGCACGATCGGGCCTTGATGGCCTCTCTTGTTTTTTTGGTTCAAACTCAACTCAGGGTAAGAAAAGGTCCAAAAATGAAACTCATGGGTTCAAACATGGTAAATGTTGAAGATGTGAGGTTATTTCAGAAACCTGATCGATTCCAAATCGCTGTGAATTCATATTTCAATTTTCATCATTGAGTGCATTGAACCAAGTGTCTAAGTCTTGCGAGCGGTCAAAAATGGGATGTCTATAGACACGTGTATGGATAAGGTTAAAAGGAAGTCACACCTAGGCCCAGGTGTGAGTAGTGTGAGTACTTTTGATTCCTTTGTTGGATAGTGCGATACACGTGTCGGGTTTCTGATGGTTTACGTGGTTGTAAAGTAAAGATTCTTGCAGAATAATTGACATAAAGCAAAGGCGGGAAAATGAGTATGTTTTCGAATTATTTTGAATGAAGAATCTTCGTCCTTATACACGGGCCACTTTGGCTATTTATTTGGTACCAGAAAACATTTGATGGTAGAGAGGAATATGCTTTTGCAGTGGGATAACTATTATGGTGAAGTTGTTTTCTAGTGCATTATTTGTCCCTCTTTTTCTGTCTTTTTTTTTTTTTTTATTGTATTGGTTTTTTTTTTGCAGAATGATTGACATAAAGCAAAGGTGGGAAAATGTGTATGTTTTCGAATTATTTTGAATGATTGACATAAAGCAAAGGTGGGAAAATGAGTATGTTTTCGAATTATTTTGAATGAAGAATCTTCGTCCTTATACACGGGCCACTTTGGCTATTTATTTGGTACCAGAAAACATTTGATGGTAGAGAGGAGTATGCTTTTGCAGTGGGATAACTATTATAGTGAAGTTGTTTTCTAGTGCATTATTTGTCCCTCTTTTTCTGTCTTTTTTTTTTTGCTGATTGTATTGGTAAACAATATTGTACTCCTTAGAAGAGTATCACGAGAATTATGGGCAGTTCACTCAAATGTGTGTAGATTGTTTTTTGACGTGGCAAATAGGACTTTGGGAAGAGAGCTGGTGATCATCTCCAGCGAGGTTTGTTCCGGTGTACGAGGAGTAGAGGGAAAAAATATCAAAGCTAAAATGTTTGAACATAAGGGTTAGCAGAGGTAAGAAAATCTGCAGAATTTGTAGGATAAAAAATTTGGAGTGTTTTATCAAAAATGGAAGGAGTAGTAAGCAGCCAGTGTCGGACTCCCTTTGCGTATCGGAGGTCAAGGACACCGGCGACCAGTGGATATAAGCGTAGTTATCGTGGTCATGCACCTTTTAAGGCGGCATATGCACGCAGACGGTATGTACAGAATATTCCCCGATATATTAAGAAGACTAAGAGGGGAGTAAGGAAGTTACAATTGCACAATGAACAATTAAGGGACGTTAAATTTGATAATAAAGGTGTGGCGAGAGTACTAAATGGTATTAAATTGGGTAATAAGAGATGTGACCGTCAATCAGACAAGATCGTGGTTAAGGGTATAAAATTAATTAGGAATGTTCAATTGGGACAAGATGCTAAGACGAAGTTGTGGTCCACAACATATTTTTTTTGTCATAAGTGATAATAGTCCGTCAGATTCCATCCCCACACCTGACAAGATATTTACTGGAGTTGGCAACAGTAATTCTGGGACCTAGATTGTAGATCCTGACCAATCCGACTGGTTTCGGATGCTAAAGAAAATGAGATTCAAGCTCGTTAGTGGCAAGAAAAAAAAGTACATTCGTCATAGAATAGAAGTTGTGAACCGGTTCTTTCCAGTTGATGTTTGGATGAGCTACAAAGATACGCTGTTGGGAAATGTTTGAAGTATTCAGAAGGGTGCCATATGTTTAGTGGCTGATATTGTTAGTGGAAAAGAATGCAAAATTACGTTAATAAGTCAAATGTACTTTAAAACTGTTTAGAATTTTAATTTTATGTATTTTTATATGTAATGTTCAAGTGAATAGATGTGGACGATATAAAAACTGGTATTGTTGAAAAAGTTTCAACAAGTGATTTCAGTTGTATTGAACTTGCTTTGCCTATTTTATTTTCTCAATTGAGGTTGAGATACAAACAAAAGAGTATTAAGGTTAATAAAATATTGATAAAATATTTCCCGCTTTGCGCACCCAATACCAGTGGGTTGGTCAGAGTAAATGTTTATGATAGGAGGTTAGATGGTAATGACAGTCTACAAGCGTATTTTATTTTTCCTGTGGATTGTCAATGCAAGTTAGTGTATTATGGGAACGGTTATTGTTCAATAAATGAAAAATAGGTGTCATGGATGGTGAAGTATCGACTTGAAAATTCGAATACTAAAAGGGGGATTACGTATTGTAAAATGAAGGGGTATTTGAAGTATTCTACGAGTGACATGCCAGAAGATTCGCAGATGAGGGCTCCCTCTATTGTTGTGTTATCAAAAAAATATACTAATGATAATGTTGATGTTTGGCACTGTGCTCCAACCAAGGTCATTCCGGTTCTAACAGGGACTATGTTTGTGGGTTTACCGGAGAGGCGAAGAGATTTGTTGTTAGGAGGTTTTGAGGAAAGTGGTTTAGTTATTCATGAACGCAGAGGTCATCTGAGTTTGTCTGAGATTGATGTACACAGAGGTGGTGATGGTGCTAGTGATGTTGATCCTGATCTGTTGATTTTGGAGGTTGGTGTTAGACAAAAGAAGTTGATCGGAGAGGATCAATTGTTATAGACCCCGCAGAATTTTCTGATGCTTTAAGACATGTAATGATCAGTGTAAAAATTTGATGATAAGGGAAATATAGTAAGTAAATAAAAGTTTGAGTGGTTTCATCAATAAAATTTTTCATTAATCATGACAGATGAATTTAGAAACCAGAATTGGTTATTCAATGTGCTAGTTAAAATTTTTAGAATCATATGATAAATTTGATTAAAATTTGATTTGGATCAAAATAATTAAAATAAATTAAGTATAATTGCTTAGACTTAAGCCAAATGATTAGTTTTAATCACACTTAATTAGCTTAAACACTAATCATCATATATATATATATATGTGCTAAACATGCTTAAGCTTCATTTTGGACATCAAATTTGTGCTGAAAATTGAGAGTTAGACAGAGAATTCAACATTGTAGAGAGAGAGAGAAGAAAAATTCAAGAGAAGCCAAGAGTGATTGTAGAGAATAAGCTTAGTCAATGCCAAATTCAAGATCTAGGTAAGATTCTTATCATTAATTCAAGAAGTTAATCCATGTAGGAAGATGAATTCACCACTTTGTAGGGCTAATTGCATGCATCTATGAAGGAGTTGAGGTTTTGAATTTGTATGATTTTTATATATGTACCGGTCGATGGACATGTTTATATTTTAATAGTGCTTCCACAGTGCCCCTTTATTATTATTGTAGATCAGATTTATCTGTGAGGCCGAAAGTAATTTGGGATTACTGGTCGGTCACAGCTTAGATCGTTAAGGGCGGGTTCGGGTCGTGACAGAAAATTGAGCTGATTATTCGTTGGTACAGGAGTATGGTTATGTAGTGTTATATAGTAGCATGATTAGTAGAGAATTTTTTTTTTTTGATCGACAAAAGAACTTTATTGAATAAGAATCAAGGATAAAACCTTACATCGAACATCAATAAAGAACAAAACCTAGTAGGTGCTATAAGCATCAGAGTGAAAGCCATTTATCCCAACTAGGTTGGCACAAAAGGGCTCACCCAATCATATGCAGCACCTACAGAACAAGGCTGATGAGGGATCAACCAGACAGAAACAAAAACACAGAAACCCAAAACACAGAAACCCAAGTAGCTAGCTACCCCTTATAGCTTTGATCCTGAACACCAAGTCAGACACAGAATAAATCACCCCTTTGACATGATAGTTAACCCATAAGGCTATATGCAATAAAATAGATTCTCACAAACCTTCCCAATTAATACCAAGACTAGCAAACTTGCACCCATTTCTAGCCTTCCATAAATTCCATATCACAGCAGCTAGAATTGCACCCCAAATACTATTTTCCAACTTTTTGAATTTGAATCCGTCCCACCACTCTAACAAATGACTCACAGATTGAGGAACCACCCAAATAATACCCCACCATGACAAAATCTCTGTCCAGATTTTCCAAGCAAAACTACAATGAAGGATCACACGGTTCACATCTTCATCACAAGAATTACAGAAAATGCATAAAGGATCTACAGTAGGATCAAGAACACCAATGCTATGAAGAAACACTGAAGCTTTTAGTCTGCCTTTCCAAGCTAGCCAACAGGTGAATTGCATCTTAGAGGGAGCAATATTCATCCATATCGCTCGAGGCACAAAAGGCAATGGACCAAGATTCAAAATGAACCGATCATAAATTGATTTCACAGTGAATAACCCGGATACTTCAGCTTTCCAAACCAATTTGTCATCCTTTAATTCACTCAGTACAGTGCTACAATGAAGCAAGTGAATGAGCTGAGAGCATTCATCCATTTCCCAAGCAAACAGTTGCCTACGAAAATAGAAATCTCATACACCTAGAGTAGATTTTCTTCTAAAAAACTCAAGCATCGTACCCTCCTTCTCTAATGACAAAGAAAACAACCTCGAAAATAGCTCTTTCAAGCTACCTTCCCTAAGCCACCTGTCAATCCAGAATCTACATCTTCTTCCATTACCAAGAAGAATACTTACATTCGACTGGTATAAAACAAGAACACTAGGGTTAGAAAATGCTGCAGACAAAATGTCCTTCCAAACTCTTGAGACTTTGGTTTGAGGATCAAAAGATGCAACCAACCATTAGTGGCATAGTTATATTTGCCGCGAAAAATATCCTTCCATGAAACCCTATTAGCACACCCAAATCTCCACCACCATTTGACAAGGAGGCATAAGTTCATAACACTCAAACTTCTAATACCCAGACTCCCTACATCCCTCATTCTAGTAACATCACTCCACTTAACCATGTGAATTTTCCTCTTTAAAAATTAGGGTACCCATATACAAAACATAATAAGCTAGTGTTCAAAATCCAAAAAAGAATAAAAGAAATACTGGAACAAAAATAAAATAAAACCAAACCGAAATTTTCAATTTAACATTTACATAAATTGATCTTGACCGGTAACCGTGCAGAATTTTGAATTGTTTCAGTTGGTCAGTGTATTCGATTTTGCCATTATATTAAACAAAATTAGGGAAAGTCATATACAGAACATAATAAGCTAGCGTTAAAAAAAAAATATATTGGAACGTAAAATAAAAGTATACTGATGCTTTCAATTTGACATTCACATAAATCAATCTTGACCAGTCAGGGGAGACAACCAAGCTAGCCGTGCAGAAGATTAAAATAGTTCGACTGGTCAGTGTATTCGATTTGCCATTATTAAACAAGTTAGTGCAACCACAGACAACATAATAAGCTAATGTTGAAAAATATCCAAAATCCCAAAAAAAAAAAAAAAAATTTGAAACACAAAATAAAGCTAAATCGAAGGTTTCGATTTTGACATTCACACAAATTGATCTTGACCTGTCGAGGGAGACAACCAAGCCAACCATGCAGAATTTTGAAATAGTTCAATTGGTTAGTGTATTCAGTTTGCGTTATTAAATAAAATTAGGGTACCCATATACAAAACATAATAAGCTAGTGTTCAAAATCCAAAAAAGAATAAAAGAAATACTGGAACAAAAATAAAATAAAACCAAACCGAAATTTTCAATTTAACATTTACATAAATTGATCTTGACCGGTAACCGTGCAGAATTTTGAATTGTTTCAGTTGGTCAGTGTATTCGATTTTGCCATTATATTAAACAAAATTAGGGAAAGTCATATACAGAACATAATAAGCTAGCGTTAAAAAAAAAATATATTGGAACGTAAAATAAAAGTATACTGATGCTTTCAATTTGACATTCACATAAATCAATCTTGACCAGTCAGGGGAGACAACCAAGCTAGCCGTGCAGAAGATTAAAATAGTTCGACTGGTCAGTGTATTCGATTTGCCATTATTAAACAAGTTAGTGCAACCACAGACAACATAATAAGCTAATGTTGAAAAATATCCAAAATCCCAAAAAAAAAAAAAAAAATTTGAAACACAAAATAAAGCTAAATCGAAGGTTTCGATTTTGACATTCACACAAATTGATCTTGACCTGTCGAGGGAGACAACCAAGCCAACCATGCAGAATTTTGAAATAGTTCAATTGGTTAGTGTATTCAGTTTGCGTTATTAAATAAAATTAGGGTACCCATATACAAAACATAATAAGCTAGTGTTCAAAATCCAAAAAAGAATAAAAGAAATACTGGAACAAAAATAAAATAAAACCAAACCGAAATTTTCAATTTAACATTTACATAAATTGATCTTGACCGGTAACCGTGCAGAATTTTGAATTGTTTCAGTTGGTCAGTGTATTCGATTTTGCCATTATATTAAACAAAATTAGGGAAAGTCATATACAGAACATAATAAGCTAGCGTTAAAAAAAAAATATATTGGAACGTAAAATAAAAGTATACTGATGCTTTCAATTTGACATTCACATAAATCAATCTTGACCAGTCAGGGGAGACAACCAAGCTAGCCGTGCAGAAGATTAAAATAGTTCGACTGGTCAGTGTATTCGATTTGCCATTATTAAACAAGTTAGTGCAACCACAGACAACATAATAAGCTAATGTTGAAAAATATCCAAAATCCCAAAAAAAAAAAAAAAAATTTGAAACACAAAATAAAGCTAAATCGAAGGTTTCGATTTTGACATTCACACAAATTGATCTTGACCTGTCGAGGGAGACAACCAAGCCAACCATGCAGAATTTTGAAATAGTTCAATTGGTTAGTGTATTCAGTTTGCGTTATTAAATAAAATTAGGGTACCCATATACAAAACATAATAAGCTAGTGTTCAAAATCCAAAAAAGAATAAAAGAAATACTGGAACAAAAATAAAATAAAACCAAACCGAAATTTTCAATTTAACATTTACATAAATTGATCTTGACCGGTAACCGTGCAGAATTTTGAATTGTTTCAGTTGGTCAGTGTATTCGATTTTGCCATTATATTAAACAAAATTAGGGAAAGTCATATACAGAACATAATAAGCTAGCGTTAAAAAAAAAATATATTGGAACGTAAAATAAAAGTATACTGATGCTTTCAATTTGACATTCACATAAATCAATCTTGACCAGTCAGGGGAGACAACCAAGCTAGCCGTGCAGAAGATTAAAATAGTTCGACTGGTCAGTGTATTCGATTTGCCATTATTAAACAAGTTAGTGCAACCACAGACAACATAATAAGCTAATGTTGAAAAATATCCAAAATCCCAAAAAAAAAAAAAAAAATTTGAAACACAAAATAAAGCTAAATCGAAGGTTTCGATTTTGACATTCACACAAATTGATCTTGACCTGTCGAGGGAGACAACCAAGCCAACCATGCAGAATTTTGAAATAGTTCAATTGGTTAGTGTATTCAGTTTGCGTTATTAAATAAAATTAGGGTACCCATATACAAAACATAATAAGCTAGTGTTCAAAATCCAAAAAAGAATAAAAGAAATACTGGAACAAAAATAAAATAAAACCAAACCGAAATTTTCAATTTAACATTTACATAAATTGATCTTGACCGGTAACCGTGCAGAATTTTGAATTGTTTCAGTTGGTCAGTGTATTCGATTTTGCCATTATATTAAACAAAATTAGGGAAAGTCATATACAGAACATAATAAGCTAGCGTTAAAAAAAAAATATATTGGAACGTAAAATAAAAGTATACTGATGCTTTCAATTTGACATTCACATAAATCAATCTTGACCAGTCAGGGGAGACAACCAAGCTAGCCGTGCAGAAGATTAAAATAGTTCGACTGGTCAGTGTATTCGATTTGCCATTATTAAACAAGTTAGTGCAACCACAGACAACATAATAAGCTAATGTTGAAAAATATCCAAAATCCCAAAAAAAAAAAAAAAAATTTGAAACACAAAATAAAGCTAAATCGAAGGTTTCGATTTTGACATTCACACAAATTGATCTTGACCTGTCGAGGGAGACAACCAAGCCAACCATGCAGAATTTTGAAATAGTTCAATTGGTTAGTGTATTCAGTTTGCGTTATTAAATAAAATTAGGGTACCCATATACAAAACATAATAAGCTAGTGTTCAAAATCCAAAAAAGAATAAAAGAAATACTGGAACAAAAATAAAATAAAACCAAACCGAAATTTTCAATTTAACATTTACATAAATTGATCTTGACCGGTAACCGTGCAGAATTTTGAATTGTTTCAGTTGGTCAGTGTATTCGATTTTGCCATTATATTAAACAAAATTAGGGAAAGTCATATACAGAACATAATAAGCTAGCGTTAAAAAAAAAATATATTGGAACGTAAAATAAAAGTATACTGATGCTTTCAATTTGACATTCACATAAATCAATCTTGACCAGTCAGGGGAGACAACCAAGCTAGCCGTGCAGAAGATTAAAATAGTTCGACTGGTCAGTGTATTCGATTTGCCATTATTAAACAAGTTAGTGCAACCACAGACAACATAATAAGCTAATGTTGAAAAATATCCAAAATCCCAAAAAAAAAAAAAAAAATTTGAAACACAAAATAAAGCTAAATCGAAGGTTTCGATTTTGACATTCACACAAATTGATCTTGACCTGTCGAGGGAGACAACCAAGCCAACCATGCAGAATTTTGAAATAGTTCAATTGGTTAGTGTATTCAGTTTGCGTTATTAAATAAAATTAGGGTACCCATATACAAAACATAATAAGCTAGTGTTCAAAATCCAAAAAAGAATAAAAGAAATACTGGAACAAAAATAAAATAAAACCAAACCGAAATTTTCAATTTAACATTTACATAAATTGATCTTGACCGGTAACCGTGCAGAATTTTGAATTGTTTCAGTTGGTCAGTGTATTCGATTTTGCCATTATATTAAACAAAATTAGGGAAAGTCATATACAGAACATAATAAGCTAGCGTTAAAAAAAAAATATATTGGAACGTAAAATAAAAGTATACTGATGCTTTCAATTTGACATTCACATAAATCAATCTTGACCAGTCAGGGGAGACAACCAAGCTAGCCGTGCAGAAGATTAAAATAGTTCGACTGGTCAGTGTATTCGATTTGCCATTATTAAACAAGTTAGTGCAACCACAGACAACATAATAAGCTAATGTTGAAAAATATCCAAAATCCCAAAAAAAAAAAAAAAAATTTGAAACACAAAATAAAGCTAAATCGAAGGTTTCGATTTTGACATTCACACAAATTGATCTTGACCTGTCGAGGGAGACAACCAAGCCAACCATGCAGAATTTTGAAATAGTTCAATTGGTTAGTGTATTCAGTTTGCGTTATTAAATAAAATTAGGGTACCCATATACAAAACATAATAAGCTAGTGTTCAAAATCCAAAAAAGAATAAAAGAAATACTGGAACAAAAATAAAATAAAACCAAACCGAAATTTTCAATTTAACATTTACATAAATTGATCTTGACCGGTAACCGTGCAGAATTTTGAATTGTTTCAGTTGGTCAGTGTATTCGATTTTGCCATTATATTAAACAAAATTAGGGAAAGTCATATACAGAACATAATAAGCTAGCGTTAAAAAAAAAATATATTGGAACGTAAAATAAAAGTATACTGATGCTTTCAATTTGACATTCACATAAATCAATCTTGACCAGTCAGGGGAGACAACCAAGCTAGCCGTGCAGAAGATTAAAATAGTTCGACTGGTCAGTGTATTCGATTTGCCATTATTAAACAAGTTAGTGCAACCACAGACAACATAATAAGCTAATGTTGAAAAATATCCAAAATCCCAAAAAAAAAAAAAAAAATTTGAAACACAAAATAAAGCTAAAT